GCCCGGGAGCCCAGTCAATTTGTTCCAAGCCGATACGGAGCCGCTTAATGAGAGGTGACAGGGCTAAAATCAATATGTCAAGAACCAACCGACTGTAAATTGCGAGCCATCAAAAAATCGGTGTCAGCTCCAAACCTGTGGAGCTTCTGGGAAAGTGCCTGCCGCTGTCGCGGGCTCCCACTCCTTCCGGAACGCGGATTGGTGCGTGGAAATCCAAAAGTGCTCGCGGTGCTATGCAAAGGGTCCGAGCAATGGTTATGTGCACTGCGGTGACAGGGAAATCGCAGCTTTGAGTTGCCATGTGACGCTGATGAGTTTGATCGCGTTTAGGTCCGGTCAAGTGGTCAGAACGTTTGGTCAATTCCTGACGTGTATTGATTCAGATTCTGTAAGCCCCGCTATAGTTTTCTACTTGCAGGTGGTTTTTGACTCCCATATTAACTGCCGCATCCTTCAGCTCGCGTTTTTTTCGGATAGGTACGGTCTATCAAACAAATAAAATCGCGCCGGCGTCGTTAACCCAGTTACTTAACTGCGTTGCGTGAGGTCACGGAAGTTAAGTAATTTTAGACACCGCGGATTCTTGGATGGAATACCGTCTGGGTTCCCCGGTTACTAACTGCGACAAGCCACTGGCCAAAGGTATAATGTCACTGACTGTGTTGTAACGAGATAAAGACAATAAATAAAAGGAGGATTACTCCTCACACGCTCAATGCCTGAGAGAGGTTAAGAGACGTGGTGCAAAGGCGCAACAATTTTATCTTAAAATCAATTTTGCAGGCCTCTATCACAGATGTTTTCACATGCCGGAAGCACATGGCCACAATAGCGAATTTATTTGATTGTGTGCACTAACAAGAATTGAACTTGTGACCTCAGAGTAACGCCCGGGCCTTAGCCCTTTGTCCACTGACGAAGACGCGTGCGTTAGTGCTGCTTGAAGCCATGGGCTATATGCTGCGAGGCAATTCAGCACGAACAATTTAGAATAAAATCAGCACTTGATAGTGTGCTGCTGCACACAACTGGACTATACAGAATATGACTGCACTGGGTTAAACGAAGAAAAGTCATGTCATACTCTTTAATAACTGAATGAATTATTCGTAACCATTGCCTGAACCATTGATTCTCTCAGAACAACCATCTGCACCGTTACTTTCAAGAGAAATGTTAAAAAAATGAAAATCGTTTTATTTACTTTTCAGACCTATATTATTATTTCGGATTTAGTAAAAAAAAATTTTAACAGAACTACTGGTGCTATAACAGAACGTACTTTCTCACTTTTTAATGCAAAATTTCGCGAAAACTACTCACATTTTTGAAAAATTGAACATGATCTTATTTCAAATTATATCTTTAAACTTCAAGTTTCATTTAGAGAAAAATATCTATGTTTAAAATTTTAGATTTAGGAAAGTTTTGAACTTTTAAAGTTTTCCAAAAATCAGGATTTTTAACGAATATGAGATAAACATCGAGTTTTAGAGTAGATTTTAGGACAAAAATATATATCTTTAATATTGAACTTTTGCAATAGTATTTTTTGAGAATTTTAGAGATTTTAGAGATTCTGCCTCCACTAATGACGCAATGGGTGTAGCTTACAATGTAGTCTTTGAAGGTTCTGCAGACCGTTCACAATTTGTTGCTTCTGCTGGAGCGAAAGCATCATGAGAAACCATTTGAGGGTATATCCCTAATCTTCTAAATCCAGAGTACGCATTCTGTGTTGTGGCTGCCCGTACAAATGCTTCCTCGAGGAGAGAATTGACTTCGTGGAAATTCACCACTTTGCCTGAGTGATTTCGAAGCCAGTTCTTAACAATTTGTGAGTAAAAGGTACTGTGGTGTTACATGAAACCCACCTCCTCCTAACACAAACAATTATACTGGTAAAAATATGCAATCAAAAATTTTTGGGCCAAATAGAATAGCCGTTTCCCTTATCCCCATCCCGGCGTTAGGACACAATAGGGCGACATGTAATCACATTAGCCTTGCTTTTGTTTGAGAAATCCAAAAGAAATGAACCATAAACTTATAAAACTAAGGCATTACTAAATCAGATACTTTCGTACTTCTGCATTGTTAAGCAAAAGACGATGTTTTATATTACGTTTTTTCAAGGTACAAAGACAAATTAGAACAACAGCAATAATTTGCTCTTCTGATGTGCTACATCTATGACACTTTCTTAGAGTCCTGCCAACACTCCTCTCGTCAAAATACTTGTTCTAGAACTGACATGCCCCAAAACTGTGGGTGTCAAAAGCAAATTCCACTTTGTCCCGTAGTTCTACTTTGCCTCACCTGCAACTCCGGAAGGACTGCGTTTTGTAGCGGTAAATCGCTTGGTGAGATAACTCTATGGACATGTGTTTAAGTCTCGGCGCAGAGAAGACATTTATTGCCGGTTAAAAACATGTTTACAGGTTCATGTAATAATACGTCATTGCGTGGTCGTTTTAAACTGTAAGGGAAAGTATGTGCTGCTGTAGCACAGCTAGTTTTAGAACGCGAAGTTGCAAAAATATATCATCATTCTACAGGCAAAAAGTACCTTGTCGCTGCCGCAATGTCATACTGTTAGCCGCAGTTCTCTTCATCACTGTCTAATTTCCGAAGTGAAGTTAGTTTTGAAGTTCTTCTATATAAAGTACATCGATAAAAGTCAATTTATTACATGATTACTTTAGCCCGTTTATACCTTTACTAATTTTGCATTTCGTTTTCTTTTTATTCCTTGAATGACAAATGTCAAAAAGTAAAGCAAATTTCTCTCTTTAAACTTTGTTCCTCGCAGCATTATACTTAGCTCCTGGCTTCTGCGTCCCTTTTCTCTCTCTCCCTCTCTCTCTCTCTCTCTCTCTCTCTCTCTCTCTCTCTCTCTCTCTCTCTCTCTCTCTCTCTCTCCACTTTCAGCAGGCCGCGTCGGATAGGGATCGGCCTATTCCTTCGTCTTAATGAATCCTGAGGGCCCTGAAGGAGCTCGTCCGTGGAAGGCGTCCGGCTTCAAGTCCCGAAGTTTGCATCCTCTGCTTACGGCATTTACTGAAATGACTCGTGTATTATACTTTATGCCTTACGTCTGTCGGTTTAGAACATCTTCATCCTCTACTCCGCACTGTATATTTCCTTCTCTTTCACCATACGACACGATTTCTCTGCGTTTCCTGTTTAGAACCAAAATAATTATATTACAAGGCCATATTTCGTTTCACAAGGTGCTCGTATTTTGTATTAAAAATAATCATTCATGCTATTAAAAATAAATTTCCATTCTAACGTAAAACTAACATTACTTTAGTGTTCTATGAACCTTAGTTGTATTCTTAATCATTTCATAAACTATTTGTTTGCTCCCCCTTTCACTTTCTCGTATACTGTTTTTAGCATATAGGATTCCAGGATAGGTACTAATTTGTCAACATAAAAAAACAGTTTTCTGGGTCTCATATATCAAAAAATTGCTTCTCTTACTTTTTAATAAATTTTACTTTGTCGAGTACGTAGCATCGCAAAATCGACGTTTCTGCCCTTGATGCCAATCAACTAGTTTTCTCTCAATAGTTTGACTTTCCCTCTGTGAACATCGCTAGCGCCTAAGCCGTTTGCAGTTTTTTTTCTTTTTTTTTTCAAAAGATAGGATATTTCCAGGTAGATCGAGAACTTTCTTTTTAGGAATTCATTTTCTTAGAGTTCAGAGGACACTGTTAAATTTTTCTCCGAGCAGTAATAGACAAAGATTTTCTTTATATTTTGTGATTTCGAGGAGAACAGTACGCATATAAAATTAGCTCATGTCCGATTTTCAGACAAATTATTTTTGTTTTAAATTGAAAATGACTCAATACTTGCAAATTTGCCATAAAGCTACTTTATTGAATATCGATAATTTTTCTTAATGAAAATTCTTCAACATTAGAACTTGAAATAGGAAATGTGCAGTTTTGTGAAAATGTTAGTGTTTTTCGCGTAATTTTGATTAAAGTAGTATTTTTTGTTGGACAATAAAAAAGATCAGTACTAAACCATATTTTTTGAATCGTCTTCATTTTTTAAACACTTTATTAGAGCAATGTTAGTTTCAAAATTTGCAAAAATAAGCACATTTTTTCGAAGCTGTTCTTCATCTTTATTAATGAAATCAGAGATTTCTTTATTATTATAATCTAGTTCTTGGTATTAGATCTTGAAATTATTTTATTTACACTTTACCAAAACAGTAGTAGATTTTGGGTATTTTTTTTATTTTAATGTGTTAATCACTGTAATATTAAGAATTCATTATAGCATTGTAAATGTCGGCAGATGATAAATGCAGTCGAACGCCACTTACGACCCGAGTGTTCGAGTTTGAATCCTCATTTGAATAAATGTTTTGTAATTTGTTTCTCTAAAATGTTTCTAAGAACTATATAATATTACAATACACTGAATTAGATACAAGGAAGCAATTTTCATTTAAACTTTTTAATTTTCAAGAAATGAAAAATCATGTTTTTTAACCTCTCGTGCTTCCTTTGGTTAGAAGTTGTTCAAGCACTAGATGAATGTTTGCAGGATCAGAGTTTCAATATTATAAAGTTGCAATATGTGCTGTTGTAGCATCAGTAGTTGAAAATGACTTCAATTGTCAGTATTCTTGGCCAATCAAAATATTTTCGAACAACTTTCTCAAACGTCATTCTGTGTCATTTTGATTCTGCTTATTGCGTCTTACAATATATTTGCATTACTCATACTTTGCCAAACGAGGTTTAATATCTTAGTTTTAAATTTAATTTACGAGTTACAATGTCTCATTTTTATTTACCCATCATTATTTTTCCTATTCTAATTTGTCCAGTTACGATAAGAGATTAGATGTTAAATGTTTTGCTCTAAACATGGCCACTATGACAGTGTGATATTAGACTCTACAAAATTGTTGCTTCTCTACTTCAGTGCATTCTCACTCTCTCAAATAATTTTATTGTATTTTGTTGCAGACATTCGAGGCACAGTGCCACCCATTCTGAACGAGAAACTTGTGTCAGTTACTGCGCGATTGGATGACACAGTGGTGGTGCCTTGTGTTGCTTACGCCAATCCAAGACCTCACTACAGGTAGGAATTTATTCTTAATTGGAGCAATACCATTCATTTTCAGTATTTCCACACGCTTAATGAATACATATGACCGAAGTGCTTAATGAACCAGTGCCTTTGTTGATTAAAATACTAGTAGCGCGCACTCCCTCTTGACCGGCTACCTGTCAACTGGCCTCCACTTTAACAGACCGCGACGAGTTTGACGACTCACGGCTTACATCGACGGATGGACCTATATCTCTCGAGCCGCAAAGAAACAAAAGGAAGTCCAAGATTACTTTTACCTTTATGCTTTTTCATTTTCAGTTCAGTAAATGTAAAAATTTAACTATCACTTTAATAAGGTCAAATATTCGTGTACAAAAACGCACTGCAGTTCTGGGCTGTAAAAAGAGTAGCCTAGGGTAACATGTGCCAAGTGATTTTCACGTCAAGGATAAGAATGGGGCCTTCCGGGGTACGTTTTGTCAATTATATCAATGTACGTATCTCACATTTCCATAAAGAAGGCTACTGAGTTTTTACTGATAAAAACGATTACAGCACTTTATTTTAATGCTACTAAGGGAAAGACGATATAAAATATCTAGTCAAATCGTTAGCCGTACTGGGTACAGGTATGGGAGTAGCCAGTTATGAAGACGTGCAATTCGTTTTGAATTCACATCATGCACTTTGTTTTTTTCGGATCTTCAGTTCTTTTTTTTTTAATTTGCCCAACGTCGCATCAAAGCTTTTGAACGCAAAATTCTCTCTCGACAAAAGAGAAAATTCAAAAGAAGAATATTTTGTCATTTGAAAATTTTGTTCTACAACATAATATGAGTAATAAGACTTGTGTTGGTTCTTCATATAGTGATAAGTGAATGAATGAATGTAGTTTGATGAACATTATTTATACACATTTACATGTGGTATCAGCCTGTATCGTTTAGGAATGAGCATTTTATTACTTATGGTGGAAAGTTCGTGCAATTCATACTTTTCATAATTGTCATCTTTTTCAAAAACTTAAAATCTAATTGATGATAAAGTGATCTAATTAAGTGTAAATGAAAAATAGACGAAACAAGACAGTGTTTTTTTTATTTACTTCCCTTCATATTCATGCATGACATTTCGATTCATTGACCGGAATTATCTTCAGCGCCATTAACTAAATTCACTAACGTTAAGCCTAACTGCTGAAGTATTAGTATCGTAAGTGCAGTGCATGCTTTATCGCGCGATGTGGCTGAAATCTTCGCCCACTGGATGAGATCCATCACCGACCTTCATGCCGGCTGGCGGGTTTTCCCCAACTAGATACATCTGACTAGCGGGGCACCACCCCAGCAGTGACGAGCTCTAAGAACTCGACTGGTCTCCCGTCATGTGTGCTAGTGCAGTGCATGTACAGGTAAGAGTGTGTAAGGGGGAGAATAGAACAAGGAATAATAACGCGAGTTGGGGTACTGCTCCGGCATTCGCCTGGTGTCTATCGAAGAAACCACGGAAAAGTACGTTCAGAGAAGCCGGCCGGTAGGATTCTCCTCCAGACAGCGGCTGAACTCGACCTAGCTATGTAGTTAGTGTCGAAAGTCCTGCCCCCGTCGGGACTCGAACCTAGAACCTACAGGTCAAAGGCATTGCAATGACATCAATTAATGCTCTGAGCCACCTAAGTCAATTTCCATTCTTGAACTTGACGTATCCTAGCCTCTTACTCACACAGACTCACATGCGCATACGACCACTTATAACGGGAAAACAGGTAGGAGCTTAGAAGAGCTTGTCCCTGCCGCCTGAGGCCTCGCTGCTAGAAGATACGTAGATGAGGAAAACTCCGTAAGCTGACGTGTAGTTCAGCGCCGAATCCTTTCATCTAGCGGGGAGAGAACTCCGCCAATTCCCACGATGAAAACATGCATTACACTTACGGGACCAATGGCCAGTGCAGTTGACGCGCTAGAAAACCAGAAATAATCAGTTATTGACACAAAGCTGTTCGCGACGCACTAACGGCTGGCTTTACCCAACGCATTCAACTTTTTGTGCTCCAGGGGGAGCCTTCCGACTCGCGATTGCGCTACCTGGTTCAAGACTACATCTGTCGGCTCAACCTCTTGTGCTGTTTTATAAATACCCCCACGGTAACAGAACTATATGTAAACAGAAAGAGAGTCAGGGGGGCGCTCGAAACCCCTTCACATTCATTGTCATATTCACTGTTAAAATCTACACGTTAAAAAGGTAATAGATTATGTGAAAAAAAATATTTTTTTCAACATTGTTGCTGCACCTTTTTTCACACCTTATCAGGAAGTAGTGAAGTTTAACAATAGCTAACGATGGGGCGCAACCTCTATTAAATGTTTTGTAAAAGTAACGTTATTTACAATGGTTTTCTAACCGTACGATGAATAAATCTACTTTCGCTTAAAGGGTCAGTCAAGGATTACCGTAAACCAAGAATGGTGCTGAAATGTTGACTTTCACTAAGATATATGCACAAACGCTTTCTGTATTATCTATGACATACTTGAAATCCTGTCTTGAAGCAATAAATCTATATTTTCTTCTCATATCCAGTCTTCAAATTTTCGGGCATTTAAAATCTAAGTTTCCGTCTGTCTTCTTGTTTTTGTACACTAAATAAATTTTAGATTATAAAAACAAATTATAATGAATAGAAATAATGGATGAGTCATCCACTTGATGTTTATAGGTCTCCCTTCATGCAGCTTCAAATAATACTGTTTTGATTTCCATCTATTTGCAAAGCAGTATTTTTATAAACACTTACTTTCTTACTGAAGAGAAAATCTTAAGGAATATTAACGTTCGAGCAGTATTATTGAGAAGCGTTGATCACGCGGAGGATGAAATAAGTTGTGTAAACTGCATTTGGGCACTTCCCTCAACATCACAGTAATAAATTTGCTATTTTGTATTATTAGTCTCAGTTTCCCCCTACAATTTCTCCTCTCTGCAACATTGCGCTGTAATATACACAACATATATTACTACAACTAGAAATCCCCGAATTCGTATCCCGTCCCGTGCGGGAATTCCCTCAGGAACGTGTTCCGTGAATGCGCCACCGCAACGCCCGAGAGGTCTCATGTCATATGACTTCTCATCTGCGGTCGTAACTGACGGCTTAGTGCCTGTTGATTCGCTTTGAGCGTATTCGCGGAAGAATGCCCATGCGGTCATATCGAGAGCTGTGGCTGAGATGGATTTCCGGCGAACACAAGGAACACGCTATTGGTATGCGATATATCAGTACTGCAGAGGGGCTAGTCAACTAAATCAGTGCGTCTATTTTGCATCAGTATTAACACATGCATATTGTATGACGCATATAGTTATTCAAGGTATTGAGTCGGAATAATTTTATTTATATTTCGTCAGTGTTTCAAAGGTTACACAAATTCCCCTCAGAATGAAAGGAACTAAATGAATAACTAATTACGAATAGTAACATTATACATTCGTGAATTTTACTCGCACACTGAGCTACTTCTAAATTTAACATTGTTTTATATTACGAACTTAATTAATAATATTTCACATTTCATTGTTATTTGCAATAACACTAACGTTCGGTTACATGTGAAAATAAAATGGTAATTCATACATTCATACACATACATTGATAACACTATATTAAATTCTTTTTAGGGGGATTGATCTATAAATCATGGCAACTACTTTTCTCTCGCAAACAGATGACAACAAAATGTATATGTTACACTGTTTAAGTGTGTGAAATAAGCTTTTGAACTTAACCAGATAATGTAGTAACGATGGGGTCGTCAGTATCCACTCATGTTCAATCGGTGGGTGACAACCTTCGCAAATGGAGATCATACGGCATTAACAGCGTACGCACGTTTAAATAGCAGTTTTTCTTGGCAGATATACGTCGAAATGGCATACAAAAAGTACCGCTACATTCGTGCAAGACGCTGAGCATTCTAATCAGAGGCAAATCTTCCATAAACTTAATAATAAAAGCATTACAAAGATTCAAAATTATTGTTTTTCTTGTAATGGAAGTTACATAATATGTGTAGTTCACTTTATCATTCCCAAAATGAGTTAAGAACAACTCAAAGTATTTGAAAACTCTTTGTGAATCCAACTTTTAGCGCCATTCTGTCTGCTTCGCCATTTTCACCACGTTTTCACCTCGCTATAAACTTTCTTGAGGTAAGTATCCTCAACTAAGCCGGTATAACACCCTGAAACTGTCAAGAACTACAATAGCATTATAAAGATTGAAAATAATTGTTTTTCTTCTAATGGATGTTACTTTATATAAGAAAGGAGATAGAGAAAAAACTGTAATATAAAATGCTGTTTGCATGCTCACTAACTTCACTTATTGCTCACTGTCTGGAGAAGAGAGTTACTTCTGGAAGACAGACGACGCAAGATAAAAGAAGCCATTAGCTCGTTGCCCGACTTCGCCACAGAAAACTCTCCACAGCAGTAGGTCTAACTCTCAGCGGAAAAACTCGATCTTGCGAAGAAGTGACGCCACGCAACACCTCATTGCTTAAGGGCACATAAAGCGCTTTGTTAAAAAGTGTACCTATTTCTTTGCCGCTCGTGACTGTCTGCCTCTCAATAAACCTATCTCTTGTCAATGACCAATTAACAGTTTTATCCTTGTTCGTTGTCTTCTTCTTCTTCGACGGTTTCTACCCCTTAGAGTTTGCCGTTTTCGATTTCCATAATTCTCGGTCCTCCCATTGACCCTCTTCCAATCCTTTCTCCTCCATTACTTCATGTATATATGTCATCAAGGTTAAACCACCTCTACCTCCTCTACGTCTTCTTTCAGGTATTCAATTTACAACTTGTTTTGGCCATCTCTCATTTCGCATCCTCTGGACATGTCCATACCATTGAAGAGCTTTATTTTCTAATCTTCTGGTTATGGTTATTTGAACCCCAGCTCTTTCCCACACCACTTCGTTTCTTATTTTATCCAGTCTTGTTATCTGCAAAGATCTTTTTTTGTTCGTT